ACACTAGGACGGGAGGCGGGGGAGGCTCGGGTTAAGAAGAAGGGGTAGGGGAGGGGAGCGGCGGGGGGAACTACTGCCAAAAGTTCGACAGCAGCCGTCGGGGGAGAGACGAGGCGACGGCGGCGGGGGCGGGGGACGACACGGAACTGCAGCACGACGCCGTGAAGGGCCCCGTGCCCTGCAGCATGTCAGGAGCGAGTATGTCGTTAGCACGCCAACCTACCCGGCCGAGTCACGTGTGTGTGTGTGTGTGTGTGTGTGTGTGTGTGTGTGTGTGTGTGTGTGTGTGTGCACAGAGTGTTGGCCCCGGGCTGGCACCCTCGCCATGCCTCCACTACTGCGTCACTCTGTTGCGCTCGTCTTTTTATCACCTGCCTGATAACCGCGGTGCCCCGCTAACAGAGAAGGGCTCACGACCTGCCATAAAACTTGTCAGGTGAGCCGAGCGGCCCGAGGAGAGTCGCGCGCAGGTATGAAAGCAACTGCCGCACCACATAGAGTGCGGAAACCCTGACGTCTCAAGTGGGGCTTCCCCCCCGAAATGAGAATGAAAAGCGGGGCGTGGTACTGCCGACCTATTGAGAGAGACATTCGCTGGCAAATGACGAACCGGCGCACCGAATCCCATTTGAACGCCGCTTACTTGGGCAAAGTAGGTCCGTCCAGGGTTCGGGAACTCCACAACAAAAATATATGCATGCCAACGCAACCATGGCCCTGAAAGCCATAGACACGCCGCCAAAGTAAAAGAGACGCGAAGCAGTCGATCTTGGAGCGGATCACGCCTGCCGCCTGCCGCGGGCTGCCAGCCGGGCTGGTCTGGCCGGACGATCATCTCCCGGGAGTGTTGTTATTCAATTAACTGCAGTGACGCGACGGTCCCGCGCCCGCTTTTGAATCACCCGCGCGCGGCACCGCCGCGGCTTCGGACGTACGATGGGTATCGGAACACGCTCTCGTTAATCCGATAGCCGGAGCAGGCCGGCGCCTCATCCCGATCTCATTCGCGTCCTGGTTGTGTGTATCATCGGGGCGAAATAATACGACCCGCACACACACATGCAAGGTCTTCTCGTGCCCCCCCCCTCTCTCTCGCTCTAGCACACACTACAGTACACTCGCGGCGAGACTCGCGCAGATACGGTCTATACACAGACGAAACACACATCGTTACCGCCAGCTACATCCCAACTACATCACACACACATACACACTCGCACGCACGCACACACACACACACGCCTACACACACGCTGCGAAACTAAACCAAACCAAAACTATAAACTCAACTATAAAGACGACTTGGAACACCAAACAAGCCGATCATACCATAACTACTTGTTTACTTGTTCGCGGTCGGGGAGGAAGATTCTTCGATTCGCGTACACGTACGGACTACATGTTCTCGCATGCACAAATGCTCGGCGCTCTAAATTGTTGGCACACATTCGTCATGCACGCGCAGGAGATGTATGCACCATCGCTTACGGTATTGTGCAAATCACGTGTCACATCCCTTATCAAAAGACATTCGCCTCTGGCCTTATCACTCTACATAATTGTCAGCGTGTACCATACACACGGACACTTGAAAGAGCGTGCCAAAGTGTCACATACCAAAGTGTTTGCCATGGCACGTCATCTGACGAAATAAGTGTGTGATACACTTTGTGGGAGCCATTTTGACATTAACTTTCAAGTGTTTCGATGTCACACACTTCTATTTGCAGAGTGGGTCAAGCAGGATCAAGCGCACAATAAGACTTCACACACGGCATGCAAAAAAATTGAACGTGTCTCTCACTGGGACTCTCACTTACGGGACATTGTTTCAAAAAGTATCGCTCGGTTCAATGGTTGCGTGACTGCGTCACTCAGCAAGCATCACCGCCCTGTAAAACATTTTCACAAAATTTATTTTGGAGGATTGGGCTTAACTTGTTTAGTCCGCACCGCACAAAACAACAATGGGAAAAATGTATTATAGTCATTTGAAATGCCCTACAACCCGAGCCAGGAAGGAAATACTTTTGTATGGGTTGAAGAGTGCCGCCGAGTTTCCGGTCCCCGCCCGCCTCTCGCGCCGAGCGCTGTGGGTTGACCCTTAAGGACACGACAGTAAAGTGCGATATCGTGTCTCGCGACAGCGCTAACATTTTCGCCAGGACTTCCCTCGTCACCCACCCACCTCACTGTACCTCACCTTTCGTTACGTAATCAATTAGAAAACTACTCACATGCGAGCGTCGCGATATCGCTCGCGCCGTGCTCGTACGCGCGGCCGAAGGTCGAGTTGTT